AGGAAAAATAGAACCATCGAAGAAGGAATTTCATCCAGCGGTCAAGTTGGGTGGGAAGGTGTGAGTGAATGGTAGATTAGAAATTGTTGGGGAGGTGTCATTGACAGAGAAATTGAGAGTTTGTGCCATCGGCTGATCAACTCGTTCAGCAAGACCTATAGAGGAGTGAGGTAGTCGGATGAGATAATCACCTGTCCATACCTGTTTTACAGAAGAATACCTTCGCGGTGAACAAGTTCTAGTATAGTACGTGGCTTAGAATTATAGGTCGAATGAAGGAAATCGCGATAGCCCTCTAGACATGCTCTGCAGCCAACACTGAGAATGATTATCATATACCCATCACAAACCCAGATCCCATCGTCGTGACTGGGATCTTTTTTTCTTTTTTTTTTTTCGATGGTACCTCTATGGATATAGACAGTTCACAAAGTCAACCTATCGTGACTGGGATCTTGATTCTCCTCAAATCTGACAGTCGTTGGGAAATCGATGGATAGGTTCAAAGATTTCACCATTATCCCGATGCTAAACCGTTTCAGAGGCTTCTAGGAGTATGATGTTTGCTCGAGCAGGTGAAAATATCGCCCCCTGAATTCGAAAACGCTGTCTCTCCACTACTCTGCAAAAGGAAAGTCATTGGGAAGAGATCAAAAATATGGAGAGAGCAGCACCGGAATGGGTTTTCGGCCCTAGATATAGCATCTGCCCGAACTATGCAGAGGGTACCTAGCGTACCGAAACGGACGCGTGTTGCTCAGACTCGGAAGCCTCCGACAGGGCTCGGGATCCGCCCTTGCTGGTCGACCCAATCCTCCTCACACACTGGTAACTAGTATTTTCTTGCTATTGTATGGCTGTGTACTACAGCCTTAGAATCGGCATATTATGCGGATACATTTCATTCAAAAGTGAACCTAGTCTCGCTTCCATGCCCTTCCACAGTTCGTTTCGTTGAGCTTTCACGGTTTAGTATCTTTGTGGGTCCAGAAGCGATACACAAAAGGGCAATAATGGCACAAGTAGTACTCCGTTGTCTCAACGCTGCGATTCATCGGGAACCTGATACATCGCTAGTGTTCGTGAATCTTGAG